GGATGTGTGTAGCATCTTTGGATAAGATGATATGGCCGGTGAACTGGCCCGGTGAGAACCAGAAGGGGAAGTCAGGAGGCTCGCTGAGCTGGAACTCGGCATGGATCCTGTTGGGAATGGAGTTTGCTAAGCCTGCATCCCTCCTCAGTCTCTCCCAGAGTCCAGGGAGCCTTGGCCAGACTCCGGTGCAGTCAGGGACAAGGAGAAAGCAGGAGATACTGCAAATGTCACTACTCTAGAAGGCTCTGTGCCACCTTCCTTAGAAGCCTTTCCCTGACCCTCTCTGACTATCCTTTCTCCAGATTGTGTGTGTGTGTGTGCGTGTGTATCCATATCTGGAACCTGTGTGTGGATGATGCCACCCTGGCCACCAGCTAGTTCCAGTTCAGGGCTAAGCAAGTTCCAGACTCCTCTCACCAAATCCTGTGCCCTCTGAAGGAAGTTATTACTCCCCTGACTCACTGGGGCTCAGAGAGCAGAAGCCCGACAGGGAGGGAGGTGCTGAAGTTGGAGGTCCCTGGCTTGGCCTTTTCCTACACTCCCACGCACCGTGACACTCACCGGAACATCACAGTGTAGTAGGAATCGCTGATGGCAGTCAGGCAGGCCACGGTGCCCTGAGGGGCAAAGCGGGTCTTCACGAAGGGGCGCGGGTGAAACATGCTCAGTAGGCGGTGGATGATGACCTAGGGACAGAGGTAAGAGCCTAGCTGGTTTGTTGGGCCCTGGGACTGGATCCATAAGGAATAGCTCTGGACCCGAAGGCCCAAGAGAAGGCGACTTGGGGGAGGGATGCTTGATACCTGTGCCCAGGTTCAAACAGGAAGAGCCACTCCTGAGGTGGCTCCAGGTGGAACCTGCATCTCCCTGTGCTGTCCTTACCTCCTTGCCCTTGGGCGGCGGTGGGTAGAAGCGATTGTTGGACAAATAGCCTGTGAAGACGCTCAGCTCCCCAGGGATAATCCACCAGGGCTGGCCCAGCTCCTGACCCGGAGGGGGCAGGAACGGCCGGAAGTGGCGGGCGGCAAACACTGCGCTTGGCGAGGCTGCTGTTGTCCAGTTGCGCAGGCCTGACAGAGCGAGGCGGGAGACCTGGGACGGGGAAGCCAAGGCTCTAGGATGCCCTGCCTATGTCCCTCAAGGCCAGCTAAACCACAGGCTGGGACAGGAGAGGGAGCATGGAGGTCATGCCTCAGAGATGGCCACCAGCTTAGCATCGTCCTGCTAGAGAGAGAGGGAGGTCCACCTCACATACAACTGCTCTGGCTTCAGTGGCTTTTCAGGCCCAGCCCAGGGCAGAGCAACTGTGTTGCTGGAGATGCCACCTGGCCTAGAACAGGGTAGTGGAGCAGGTCTCACTCCCAGCCTCTGCATAAGCCTCCAACCAGTCCCAAGTGCCAGGCCCCCGTTTCAGCTCTTCCGTCTGCAGCTCCTCTGTGACCTTACGGATCATAAGCACCTGTCTGCATAGCCGTCTGCAGGCGCTGTGCCCCTGAAGCATCATTACCAAGACAGGCGAGCGCCATCCCCTTAGGGATGTGGACCACTGGGAAACTGCCAATCCTTGCTGGGCAGCAGGCCCCGCCCTCCCTTTCCTCCTCTACTGTGCCAAAAGAGCTAGGCTTGGAGAGAGGCAGGAGGAGGAGGAACGGTCCAGGGAGCTCCCATCCAGAGGAATCTAACAGGCAGATTCTCAAAGGCGAGTTGGGCTGAGCTGCCTGCCTGCTGGTCCTGCTCACAGTCTGACCATCCCTGCAGGGCATTGCCAGAGGAGGAGTTCTGGGTTCTGGACACTGGAGTGAAATGGTCCCTCTGGTTTCTATTTCACTACCATTCCCACCACTCTCAGGGAGGCGTCTGCGGGACAATCAATCCCTTCCTCCATTCTTTAATTCTTTTTTTTTTTTTTTTTTTGGTTTTTCGAGACAGGGTTTCTCTGTGTAGCCCTGGCTGTCCTGGAACTCACTCTGTAGACCAGGCTGGCCTCGAACTCAGAAATCCACCTGTCTCTGCCTCCCAAGTGCTGGGATTAAAGGCATGTGCCACCACCGCCCAGCCCCCCAAGTGGTGTTCTTACAGCCCCTCCTTGGGCAAACAACAGCAGCACAGGTCCCCAGCCAGGAGTTTGAGTCACCTGCTCTGCTCCACACTTCAGCAGCAGTCACACCCCACCCGCCCTTTCTTCCTCTCTATCCTCCCGTCTGCTCCCTCCCTCTATCCCCCTGCCTCCACCCACTCTAGGAACTGGTGGGCTTACATGCACGCCCCCAGCCTGGAGAACACAAATCTAATTTCACAATCAACCCACTGAGGCATTTGGCTTCTGTAAAACAAAGGCTAGATGTCAGTCAGGCAAAGAGACCCTCAGGAATCTAGCCTCCTCTAGAAGCCCCATTAAGCCACACAGAGGCCTTGGGCCTGCCACACCTGCCCTCTGGCCTACCTGCCTGCCACCTTTTGCCGCAGGCTCTCCCTCAGGCAGAGTGGGGCTTTGGCAAGCAAGTACGGGCTGGGCATGGAGGACGGCTGCTCGCAGGAACAGCGGGAAAGAAAGGTGGAAAGCAAACCCAGTAAATAGGAAGAAAACCCTAAGGATCTAGTAGGAGAGGTGACAGCAAGTGGGGGGCGGGGCATGACCCTGCAATGGGCTCTCTGTGTCCTCAGGGCCTTGAGCTGGGAAGAAGATAGCAACACAGCACCTGCCTGCCTCCCCTCCTCCTCCCTCAGGGGCTCATGTTCCCCACAATCCCCACCAGAGGCTGAACATGCAACAGGCCATCTGCATTTGACAGAGGACCTGCCACATGCCAGGAGTTGGCTACGGGTCCAGGAACTAGATGGGCAGAAAGTATCCATCACCCAGGTTTCTTCTCTAACTCACCCCCATCCTGGGGACAGCCTGTCAGCTGTCACCCCTGCCAGGAAGCCCTCCCAGCTTCCCTAGGGAGGAATGCTTCTGCAGCTCCCTCCTGCTCTCCCACCAGACCGAACTGGAAAGCACATGAGGGATGCTGACAGGCCTGAGGAGGAGGGCACAGGCCTGTCCTCAGGAGCAAGTGTCTTGTCATCAGTGGTCTTGTCATCAGTGGTCCCTCCTGTGCTGTTACTCAGGCCCTACTCACCCCCAGGAAGCCATCTTTGCTCTTGGTCATGGTCTCCGTGAGTAGAGGCTGGAATCGGGCTTCTATGGTAAGAGTCTCCTCGCTGGGGTCATGGGGCAGCTCCTCCTCCTCGTAGCTGGCCACAGGAACTGACCCTATGGGACAGAGGTGGCTGGAGAGGCTGGCCCTTGGACCCCAAACTTCACTCCTCTCAGGATTCCCATGACAAGGGAGCTAGTCTTGGGACAGAGCTGAAAACTAAGTCAGCATGCACGGGGTTCTATTTCCCCACAGCCCAGGGGCAGATGATGTCATTAGCAACTCCATTTCACAGATAAGTGGAGATAACAACACCTCCCCATTGTCACATACTGGGGGGGGGGTCAGGATTCAAAGCCAGGCCTGTGTCACTCTGAATCCATGATCAGTTATGATCGCCTTCTGGATCTTAGGCTACTGTGAGAAATGAAGTCAAGGGGATTTTAGCAAAAAGAAAAGCAAGATGTCATAGCCTGAGGTCATCAAATGAGCACGGGTGGGCGGAGACTTGACCTGCTTCTCCCTAATCTTTTGGCTGGCTTGGCCTCCCTGCATGAGGCGTTTAGGGCTGGCTGATTTCTCAGCTCTCCCATAGGGAGATGCCAAGTTCCTCATATTCTCCATGTGGATGGAGTCATGATGCAGGGTTAAGGGGAGAAAAGCCGACTTCCAGAGCAATGACAGAATAGTGGTCTATGACAGAAGCATGCTAGCCCTGTCCTACAGACTCCCAAGGATGAATGAAGGTACAGAGACAACTTCTGGCACTTGGTGGCACTGGTGACTAGCCAAGCTGAATGGTGCACATCACAGACAGCTATCAAGCAGAGTCATCACAAGTACCCGGGCTGCCTGGCCACACTGCAGCTACTCAGAGCCCACCTCTGCCTACCGAGTGGAACCTTCGGGGGTTAGGCTCAGAAAACTGCCCTTTTCATTAGCAGTCCCCAGCAGCCCTGTTCAGAAGATCACTTTGGGGCTGGTGAGATGGCTCAGCCAGACTGCTCTGCTCTGGGAGTAAAAGAGCCTGCCACATAAGCCTGACTTGCCTTCTATTCCAGAAACATGTGCCACATGACAAAAACAGGAGGGGCTCTGCCTCAGTGGGGTGGAGGGAAGAGACCGACTTCCAGAAGTTGTCCTCTGACCTCCAGGTGTGTGCTGTGGCACATGCATACATGCAATAATAATAAATATTTTTATATGATTTTTGTTACATTAGACAGGGTTTCTCTGTGTAGCCCTGGCTGTCCTGGTACTCACTCTGTAGACCAGACTGGCCTTGAACACAGAAATCCACCTGCCTCTGCCTCCTGAGTGCGGGGATTAAAGGCGTGCGCCACCACTGCCCGACTTAGTTGTTATTTATCTGTTAGTCAATGGCATAAAACCTTGTTGTTGTTTATTTGAGACAAACTCTTAGGCTGGCCTGGAACTTGGTATGTAGATAGAGCTGCCCTTAAATTTGTGGTACCATCACCTCTGGCCAGTAAAATTTTGAAAAAGCAATATGGAAACATCAGACAAAGGAAGAGAGGATTCTGTAGGGTTGTTATTAGTTTGCCTTACATACTGAATGATTTTAGTGCTAACTGTTAAGAATAACTGGACTGCTGGGCGGTGATGGCACACGCCTTTAATCTCAGCACTCAGGAGGCAGAGGCAGGTGGATCTCTGAGTTCAAGGCCAGCCTGTTCTACAGAGGGAGTCCCAGGACAGCCAGGGCTACATGGAGAAACCAAATCTTTAAAAAACAAACCAAAAAAAAAACAAAAACAAAGACAAAACAAAACCCAGAATAAGTGGGCCTTGATGGGCATAGCCTTTTCTGTTGTTGTAGACAGCATGTCTCAGAAACAAAACAAAGTAACCTAATGCAGTGGTGCAGACCTATAATCCCAGCTACTTGGAAAGCATAAGGCAGGAAAACCCAAAATTCAAGACTAGTCTGGACTCTAGAGTGAGCTTGAGGCCAGCTTGGGCAACTTAGTGGGACTCTTTTCTATTTCAAAAGTAAAAGTAAAAGACGGGGCTGGAGCAATGGCTCAGTGGTTAGAAGCATTGGCTGTTCTTCTAGGTTCAATTCCCAGCTCTGACATGGTGGCTCACAGCTGCCTGTAACTCTAGCTCCTGGGGGATCTGATGCCCTCTTCTGGCCTCTGAGGGTACTTCACTCAAATGGTGCATACACACGCAGACATACACATAAAATAATCCTTTAAAATTTACATTTTCACCTGACCATGCTCCTGTAGCAGTGACCACAGAACCCTGGGCCAGCAACTGGCCATCCTCCACATCCATCCCTGAAACCTGGCAAGCTCACGATGATTCTATGCTGCACCCACCCCTAAGAGTACTTGCTTTCTCCTTCCCCTGCCTCTTGCCCACTGACAGGCTTCTACTGGCGCCCACCTAGATGCCTAAGATCATAAGTTTGAGAAATAGTAGATCGAATTCGGGACATTGAAGCAAGAGGACTGGAAGTTAGACGCCTGCCTGGGCTTTTCGGCTTAGTGAGACTCTGTCTAACAGGCATGTATCTTGGTGGGGAAACATTTGAGCAACATAAGCAAAGCTCTGTGTTAAGTCTTCACAAGTTGGGGGAAGGGAGAGAGGGCAACCCAGTAGGTGGGAAGATGGCTCCCTTGATAAAGGTCTTCCCTCACAAACACCAGGTAGGATCATATACACCGGTAACCCCAGCCCCACAAGAGGGGAGCAAGAGGATCCCTGGCTGCTTGCTGGCCACCAGCCTGGCATCCGTGAAAAAGCTCCAGGCTAAGGAGAGACTCTGCCTCAAACAAACAGTGGAAGGCACCAGGGCACTGACCCTTGAGGCTGTCCTCTGACTGTCACAGGCACACTGCCTATGAGCACAGAACTCACCAGGCACTGACACACAGCCTGGACGGGAGGGACAAGCACTTTATAATTCAGTGATTTGAGACTCAGATTATCCTCTTTATCATAAGGAAATCGGCAATTGGTGGCAGCTAGGAATTATACAATCTAGGCTTTAGAGCAGCGGCAACAGCAGTGGCATCTGTCTGTGGCTATCTGCCTACTGGCCATTGGACCCAGCCTCTGAATCCTTAACCCTGTGAACCAGGGCAGGGCCCTGCGATCAGGTGATCAGGTCTAGCCTGGCTCTCTGTCTTCTAGCCTGGCAAGCGGGAGAATCTGCCTGTGTCTTCATCGGTTGAAATCCAGCTAACGGGACAGTGTCCATGGCCCCAGGCCTGTGACAGGAGTAAAGGCTGTACCTCGTCCAAGTGCTTCGAGTTGAGGATGTGGCCGGGGAGGTGGCTGGAGGGATGCTACTGGCACCGTTCACAAACATCATTGAAATGGACTTGGGTGCCAAGGCAACTCATGTACCCAACCAGCCAGAAAGTGCTGAGGGGGGTGGGGTCGGGGCCCGGTTCCTTTTAGGCTTCCCTTGAGCTCCCAACCTCTCTGGTACCTGTCAGTTTCTCCGCAATGGGTTTGAATTCCTCCGGACTGATGTACATATCCTGGTCAGTGTCCAGCGAGGAAAAGAGAAAGAGGCCATCTGTCCCCAGAACCTTCAAGGCCGATTCCTGTTGGGGAGGACGGTGCTGTGCTGAGCTGAGCATCACCACGGGCCCCAAACTCCCCATCCCAGTCCCTGAGCAGGCAGCTGCTTCCTGCTACAGCAGCGCCTGCCATCCTCTTCCAGAGTCCCCTCCACACTTGCCAGCCTCATTTGCTCAAATGTCACCTCTCAACAGTCCCAGAGTTCCTTGTCCCCTTTCCAGTGGCCGCTGGTCCCAGCTTCACTCTAAGCCTTCGTCCATTGTCTACTCCGAGTTCCCTCCTTCCCCTCCCAAAGGCCTGGTCCTACTTTTTACCCGGTCCTGGCCATTGTCCCCTCCAGTTCCCCCCTTCCCGGGTGCGGGGTAGAGCTTTGCTCTGCGCCTCTTTCTGCAGCCACTGTGCCCCTCCTGTCCCCTCCGACCTGCCGCGCGGCCGCCTGGGCGTCGGCGAGGAGCGCGCAGGCCC